AAGAAACAAATCAATCATTAAGACATTTTTAACAAACCATTGCTTCCGGCTAAAGTCCATAATCCATAATAACACTTCCTCCAGTGAAAAACAGGAGAGGAATCTGCACAGATCAAGCAGCGTTTAAACAGCTCTAAACAAACATGTGGGTGGATTTTGATGTGAGAGACAACAGGAGATGGACTTTTTCAATGGAGGAAGCGTTATTATGGATTATGGACTCATATTTTGACCAGAAGTGAAAGTATAAAGTTAAAATGCCTAAATGATTGATTTGTTTCATATAAACCCATTTTCACTTCACAAGACGTTAACTGATGGACTGGAGTGGTGTGGATTACTTGGTGTTTTTATCAGCTGTTTGGACTCTCATTCTGACGGCACCCATTCACTGCAGAGCATCCATTGATGCGATGCTACATTTCTCCAAATCTGATGAAGAAACAAACTCATCTACATCTCGGATGGCTTGAAGGCGAGTACATTTTCAGCACATTTTCATTTTTGCATGAACTATTCCTTTAAGCATTAGTATGCATACTTTAAAGGGGTCATGGGATGCCCATTTTCCACAAGTTGATATGATTCTTTTGGGTCTTAATGAAAAGTCTGTAACATAGTTTGGTTAAAATTTCTCAATGGTAGTGTAAAAAACGCACTTTTTTTACCCTGTCAAAAACAGCTCGTTTCAGAGCAGGCAGTTTTGTAGCATTTTCCTTTAAATGTTAATGAGCTCTGCTGACCCCGCCCCTCTCTTCCGAGCTGCTCTCAGAGAGACTGTTTACTTTAGCCGCATTAGACGCATTCATCGTGAAACTTGCTAATTAGCACATTATTAGGAAAGTCGATTTGCAAAGATTCGTTAAAAAAACCTTACACTCACTTCTTCTGGAGGTGAAGCTGGATCATGAATGATTCGCGCGAACATAAGACGCATTTATATAGATCGGGGAGCATTCCCTTCAAAAACAAACATAATCCACTACATCTTCAGTGGCTCAGATGTCGGGAGTAAATGACGACTGCTGTTCACATTATTACATCCAACAACAAAACACCTCAATCACTTAGGAGTCATTCTTGTCTACATCTGCTCCGGCGGTGAAACAATCACACATTTCAGTTCAAACAACTTGTAAAAGTGCATGTAGCATCATATGACCCCTTTAACCCGCTTCTGTACAATTACTTTTGAAACTTACTGCATAGCAACCGATGACATCTCCTTCCGTGAAAGGCTCACCAAACGCCTCTTCCTTTGCTCCAGTTACGATCCTCCCCCGTCCATCAAAACCATACGACAGCTCCACCTCACCTGAGAAAACAAGAGCAAGAAACATTTGTTTTTTAATTTGATAATAACATTGATTAAATTAGTTTTTCAAAAAACATAAAAAAAAAACATTTTTAAATTAATTTACATTTCGAAGAAATGTTAGTCTTCTAGCTATGTTATGCCTAATGTATACCTTTTTTTTTTATTTCTATCATCTCTATAATCATCAAAACCATTCAGATCAGTCATATGTTTTATTTCATAATGTTATTCTCACCTAGCTGAAGGCTTGTGTTGTCCACAGACCAGCCCACTCTGAGCACATGTCGATCCGGGTCACAGCTTGTGTCGAATGCAGGAGCTGACAGTCGCTTCACAAACTGGAGACCCAAAAAAGAAATAATAATTCACCAAAGGTGCCATTTAATTTGTACAAAACTCAAAACTCAAGTTCACACCTTGGCTTCGAATCCGACCTTCCCTTGACAAAATCCATGGCTCATCCTGCACCCCGACCAAAGCAGAGGGAACGTCTCCCAGAAGAGCGGCTGACCGCTGCTCCCATCAGAGTCCACCTCAAAATGCAGGTCACAGCTATCTGTGAAACACAAACACAGTGTTTCTGAGGACAGGCTCGTCTCAATGACTCATTCGGTATCTGAAGATGTATTGGGGTCGTGACGAACTTACAGGAATCCAGTCGAACATCTTCTAAATCTATTTCAGCTTCTTCCTCGGGCTCCGGCAGCAGCTCTGGTGTTTTAGCTCTGAGGACAAACAAATCAGGGAGAAAAAGTCAGAAAGGTTCAACTCTGTTTTGTAAGATCTGTTTAGGGTCAGTAGGACTTATTCATTCAGCAAGGACGCATTAAATTTAGTTATATAAGAGTGGGTAGATTGCTTAGAGATTGTAGTACTTTTTAAATGCTTTTGACCTAACTTGTTTATCACGTGGACTTGCATGTGGGATTATATCAAACTTGATAAAAAGAGAAAACAACAAGGAGTAAATTAACTGTAATCTGATATTAAAATAATCTAATCTAATATGTAATATGATCTAATTACAAGTACTTCATTTTTGCAATCTGATTACATAATCCATATTACAAAATATTTATTTTTCATATAAATTCTGTTCTTTTGACCTTTTTATTCATCAAAGATGAATTTCAACATTAATAATAATCAGAAATGTTCTCCTTGAGCAGCAAATCAGCTTTTTAGGATGATTTCTGAAGGATCATGTGACACTGGAGACTGTAGTAATGATGCTGAAAATTCAGCTTTGATCACATGAATAAATTATATTAAAAAAGATATTCAAATAGAAACCAGATCCTTTAAATTGCAATAATATTTCGGAATTTTACCAAGAAATGCAGTCTTGGTGAGCACAAGCGATTTCCTTCAAAAAAAAAAAAAAGTCAAGTGTGTTCTGGAAATGACATCCACGTTCTTTGAAATACCTTTAAGTACAAGCTCTTGCAGTTCCTACAGACCGATAATCAATACCTGTTGTAATGAATGTCCTCTTTGAACTCGTAATAATCTCTGCCTCTCTCCTCCACAGGCCTCTTGAGCTCCCTGCTCTCGTCTGGGGTGGAGTCCACAGTCTCAGGTCCATCTGACAGTCTACGGAGCACTGCAAGAGAGAGCAGTCATCATATAATCATCTTACTTTACTTTTAGTATATGATCAGCCATGAAACACTTTATTAATTGTGCTCTAAGGGTGACTTACACTGCTCTTGCTGCTGTGCTGCTTCTGGCTCTGAAATGGCCAAGACTGATGATGAGCATCCTGACTCTGCATCTTCCGTAGCAGCGGTTGCCAAGGCGACAGGATGCAGATTCGCGGCTGGATGCGCCTGCTGTTGTCTCTCCTCTCCAGATATAACGGCCTTCGCGATGGCTATTGGGGCAGTGCATGAGCACAGCTGAAGTGGGTCAGTCTGTGTACTTTGGTCAGTATAAGCAGTCATGCTCTTTTTAGGAGGACCGATGCACACTGGAGACCGCGTCCTAACGCACTGCTCAGATTCCGGGGAGTGAGTCTTCCGCGGCTCTTCACTCGTCGTTTCACTACCATTTCCCCCCTCATCTCCACTTTTGATGGGTTCAACACCGGCTTCGATCGCAGAGATCAGCCTAACCACCAGCTCGGCCTTCAGGCCTCTGGAGTCCAGTCCTCGCTCCGTTAACAAAGCACGCAACTCGGCCACTTTCAGCCTTTTCACTTCCGTTAACAACATTTTCAACAAGAGCGGTCAATTCCACGGTAAAACTAAAAAGTGTACACACGCTGTATCTTGTAATTTAGTGACGGTTGGCCAGTTAGGCGCACTCTTGAAACTTTTTGGGAATTTTCTCAATCTACCAAAACACACGACGACCCGCTGGAGAGAATTCAAGAGAGTGGACTGAGCGCTGATTGGCTATCGGGAGGACGCTGATCGTTGATTGGCTACCAGCAGTGACGTAAACTGACTCTTTTTCGGCGAGTCGGTTCTTTCGAACAATTCGTTTCAAAGAACCATTTTTTTAAAGATCCAAATAAAAACTATTTAGGTTTTTTTTTTTTTTTTTTTTACCCCATTACATTCACAGGGGATACATACAACAGAAATATTGTTTAAAATAACAATATGTGACTCAGGTTGATGCAAAGCAATAAAATACATAATGTACTCAACCTCAGGCCATCCAAAATATAGATGAGTTTGTTTCTTCATCAGATTTGGAGAAATGTAGTATTGCATCACCTGTTCACCAATGGATGTGAATGGGTGCCGTCAGAATGAGAGCTGATAAAAACATCACAATAATCCACAAGTAATCCACACCACTCCAGTCCATCAGTTAAAGTCATTTTTTTCCACTAGAGAAAACAAAACAATGGATAGAGGACTCATATTTTAGGTGAAAGAAGTTTACATGTTACATACACAACCAGAATACAAAACACAATAATATTCCACTAAAATAATCAGGCCAAAAAATAAATAATAAATTAAAAGAAATATAAACAGAAAAACAAATCGATAAAACTTAACATAAAAATCTTTAAAAAAAATAATAAACTAGAATAAATAATTACACATAAGAATGCCAGCTTCAAAGAATAACTTACATCGAAGTCATTATTTTTTCCATCAATACAGTAGTTTTAGCAGCTTTCTTATGAAGTGACGAGCAGAGAGATTCATAAAATAGTTTCTGATCAATACAAAAAAATCCTACAATTAGGCATACAATCAGTACCTTTACATTTGTGAAGATGAAATAGGCCACAGAGAGTTAGGGTTGTGGCTAGAAGGGATGCAAATACCAGAAGCTAACTATAAATTACATTTTCTACCTATTAGATTGTGTTTTATTAACGTCCAACCCCAACCCTAAACCCACCACTTACTATAATGCAAAACACAGTGATTATCGGTGTACAGTTTTGAGAAAAATTACGCTATATTAATCTGCGAATGCCCATTTAGTGGTCACAGCTTTTATGCAATTTCCACGTGCTCTAAAACAGTCCAATCTAATGTTTTTTAATGTTGAATTTATAAGGGTGTTTATTGTAATTTTTTTTTTTTACATTCCAGTTCAGCCATGATTCAGCTCGAAAAATATAGGCCTAAAATAAAGTAGAACCTAAATATAGTTATTTTTAAATAAAGCGAAACTCATTAAAACCAACTCGCGTGTTTGTTTATAACTCTCATATTCAAGTTGTTAACACATTTCCGCGATGTTTAATTTGTAACAATTCTGCTTTTCAATAATTGCCCCCGAGTCAAAAGAGTCGACTCAGAAGAACGATTCATTCACGAATCGGACGTCACTAGTTGCCCCGCCTTCCGGTGCCACATTTTTATGTTTTTACCAGAATAAACATTCTCAGCGTAGCATTTATGTTTATAGCATACAGCACCGATATTTTCTTCCAGAATAAATATCTTTTTTACGCAGTCGAGCGTTGGCAGAGAAAGCAGATTTATCCCATGTACACTATTGGTCAATCCGAGAGGTTAAAGGTTGATATGTAAATATCCAACATGGCGGCGCCCATACATGACATGTTTTCTCGCTGCGTGGATCCTGCCGAAGCCAGTAATTGCGTGGAGGTCCGATTTATCGATAATGTCAAGGTGTGCAACAGTTAACCAATGACAGAGACGCATCCTCCTCATATAATGTAGTTATATAGTGTTGTTATTTAGCGGTTTAGCCTCCCAGATCAGATCAGCCGGCTTATTCTCATCTGATGCCAGAACCTGCTGATCAAAGAAATGTAGACGATCCAGAATATGCAAACTGTGACAAATAATCACATGCATGTTCTCTAAAGAGGAGACATGTATGTGTAGTTTTAAATAGGTTTCTCCCATCTCGCGCTTCAGACGGCAAACGTTAATATATTATTTTATGATTATTGAATTATTTCTTCTCAGGGTAAAGGATTATTTGCGAAAAAAACCTTCAAAAAGGGTGACCCCATTTTTATTGAGCAACCTCTAGTGTCATCTCAGTTCTTGTGGAATGCCTTGTACAACTACAGAGGTGAGTGCATAGATTCATATCATTCATACAGATGTTCTTGATCATATCTTTGTGATAAAAGACGTCTTAGAATATGTTATTTATTTATGCGTCACTTTGAGACCCTGGGATGCCAGAATTGTTTCAAAAGTTTGGGATCAGTAGGATTTATAATGTTTTTTAAAGAAGTGTCTTTTGTGCATCAAAGCTGCATTCATGTGATCAAAAATACAGAAAAAACTAGTAATATTATGAAATATTATTGCAATTTAAAATAACAGTTTTCGATTTTAATATACTTTGAAATGTAATTTATTCCTGTGATCAAAGCTGTATTTTCAGCATCATTACTCCAGTCTTCAGTGTCACATGATCCTTCAGAAATCATTCTAATATGCTGATTTATAATAAATGTTGGAAACAGTTGTGCTGCTTAAAGGTCCCATATAGTCAGTAATTTGTAGATTGGGGTCAGTAATTTATTTATTTATTTATTTATTTTTGAAATAAATAAATTATTATTTTCTCAGCAAGGATGTGTTAAATTGATAAAAAGTGATAGTATAGACTTATGTTGTTAGAAAATATTTCTATTTTGAATAAATGCTGGTAAAAAAATGCATAGCCTGAATGCACTGTAAGTCGCTTTGAATGAAAGCGTCTGCTAAATGCATAAATTATTATTAAATTATTAAATGCTTTTCTTCAGTATCACAGCTTCCAAAAAATATTAAGCAGCACAACCGTTTCCAACATTAATAATAAATCAGCATATTGTTAATAAATCATCAGAATGATTTCTGAAGATCATGTGACACTGAAGACTGGAGTAATGATGCTGATGGAAATTCAGCTTTGCATCACAGGAATAAATTACATTTTACAATATATTCAAATAGAAAACTGTTATTTTAAATTGCAAAAATATTTCACAATATTATATTTTTTTTCTGTATTTTTGATCAAATAAATACAGCCTTGATGAGCATACGAAACATTAAAAATCATACTGATCCCAAACTTTTGAATGGCAGTGTACATTATGCATTTCATACATTTTATATATAATGATTATCTTTAACATTTTTATTTGAGTTGTGCATGTATTGTGTGATGTGTTTATGTCATCTTCTCCCCGTGTTCAGCGTGTGAGTACTGTCTGCGTGCTCTGGAGACAGCGGAGGAGAACGCCAGGCGCTTGAGCGGTCTGCCGGCTCTTGGTCTGCCTCAGCCGGAGCTGTGTAAAGTGCGTCCGGATCGACACCAGGCCTGTCCACACTGTCAGGTACACATGAGCTTAATCTGTTCCTCTGTTATCTAGTGTTTGATTCAGCCGTCACTTCGTAATCTGGTTACTGTTGTTGATTGACTACACTGATTTAGGGGTGGGCGATATGACCAAAATCGTATATCTAGGGATGTAACGATTCACTCAACTCACGATTCGATTCACGATTTTTTTTTAACAAAATGAGATTTAAGACAAATTATAAATTAAATGTGTCCTTTTATTATTGCTTGGACAAAATACTGTACGTTTCTTTGTGAAATTGAAATATAACACTATAATAATATACTAATATAGCACTTGCATATTATTACTCTTTTGTTGGTTTTGATTGCTTCTATTGTCCTCATTTGTTAGTCGCTTTGGATAAAAGCGTTTGCTAAGTGACTAAATTTAAATATAATGTAAATGTAAATAACAAAACTATATATATTTTTTTAAATTTTAAAACAAGCCCCAAATCAAATAAATAAGTAAATATGCATTATACAGAGGCAAGAGGAAAAGACAAAATACCATGGTAAGACAGTAAGTTCCCCTCAGACATGCATTCATATAAACTCCTACCTATACATGAATCGTGATTTGTTTAGCATCTCAACCGATTTGAATCGTCACATATTTTAATCGATTTTCAACCGGCTCGCGGTTAATCGTTACATCCCTACTTGTATCACGATATGAGTAATTTTATATCAAGATAACGATATATATATATATATTACGATATAGTTCTTTTTTTCTTTTAAAAAGGTTTTTATGATATTAAAATCTTTGATACCATATAATTTTCATAATCCCTTGTCAATATCAAACTAATACAAGACTAAAAAGAAAAGAAAAAACCAACCTCAAGCTCACTGAAGATAAATAAACAGTCAGTGATAAAATAAGGATAAGATACTAATTGCAAGCAATAGGACAAAAAACTACAATAAATAAGAAACGCTACATACATTGTGTAAATTAATGATGTGTGTGTGTATATATATATATATATATATATATAATTAACATGTAAATGTAAGATTTTGTAAGTTTTTACATTTATATCCAATTATATTTGTTACGATAACTTTATATTTAGATTTTTTTGCACCCTCAGATTCCAGATTTTCAAATAGTTGTATCTCAGCCAAATATTGTCCTAACAAACCATACATCAATGGAAAGCTTATTTATTCAGCTTCAGATTTCGAAAAAATTGACCCTTATGACTAGTTTTGTAGTCCAGGGTCACATATGTGTGTGTACTGTGTATATTTATTATGCATGTATAAACACACGCGCATGTATATATATATTTAAGAAAAAATGTTATGTTTATATATTTATATATAATATAAAATATATGAATATAAATATATACATGTAAATATTTTCAAAATACATTCTGTATGTGTGTGTCTTTATATATGCATTATAAATATACACAGTGCACACACATATATTATATAAAAAAAAACGTTTATTTTGCATGCGATTAATCGTTGCCCAGCACTAATAATGATCATTAAAAACCGTATTTGATTATTGCAATCTGAAAAACGCGAGATAAATAGAAAGTTAGTAAGAGTCTCACGCAGACGCGACATGCATCGTAGCTTTCGTTTAGTGTGAAAATATGACAGAAGGCAGAGTGCTGAGAAAAATTATATATGCAATTATAAATGCATGAATAAATTATTTATTAATGCATAAAGGGGGAACTGACTGTCTGCAGAAAAGTTCTGATGACGTGCTTTTCATCTTCCCTCTGTGTAAAGCCTGATAAAGTAGGGTTTATAAGCGCAGCGCTGCTTTGTTTACAGAGGCTACCGTGGAAACCGCTCTATTTCTGCTCTTCCATAAGCGCCACCTGCTGTCAGACAGTGGAGTTACATTTTCATTCAGTCTGTCTACTGTTTGTGTTGCGACCACATTTTAGTTGAACATTTCGGATAGTAAGGTAGCCTCTGTAGAATTGTTCATGATGAAGCAGATAAAATGCCTATAATTGATCATTTTGATTCATTCTTTTCTTTAAAACGATTTAAAGGCTTAAATGTGAGGTGTATTATTTAATAAAACTTTTTTTTTTAGTCAAAACCTTAATTGATCATGTAGTATGTATTAGTAGAGAATGTTATCTTCCGAGTCGCCCAACTAATATTGTAATTTACCGTATTGGCCCTAATATAAGACGACCCTGATTATAAGACGACCCCCCCTTTTTCCAGATGTACCTTTTGGAAAAAGGCTTTTAAAAACCAAATCTTGTTTTTTCTCAGTAAAACACATTTTGTCTTCAATTATTTTCATATTGCATATTTTTCCTATTTTAATTTTTGTTTTGAAAGTATGGTAAAAACTGGTAAAATGTACCAACAATCACATTAAAAAAAATATACACTTTTTGATATACCTTAAAAAAAAAAAAAACAGGTAGCCCATCTGAATTAGGACATTTAGGCTATCCATCTAGATCTTTACTTAATATCCTAATGATTTTTGGCATAAAAGAAAAATCGATCATTTTGACCCATACAATGTATTGTTGGCTATTGCTACAAATATACCCCAGCGACTTAAGACTGAATTTGTTGCTCCAGGGTCACACTTGGTAATTAAGTGCAGATAGCCTGCTGATGTGTTTTCCTGAGGAGGTCTCTGTGTTCTCTTCAGGTGATGTACTGCAGCGCTGAGTGCCGGCAGGCTGCATGGGATTAAATCTGACTGTCATGTTTAATGTTATTATTTTAATGTTTATTTAAACAAAAAGGGCATAGTGCTGCTGATTGTGTTTGTTGTTAGGTGAAATGATTTCAGTAGCACATTTTAATAACACCGTGATAATACTGATAACCATGATCATTTTGGTCACTATGATCGTGATGTGAATTGTTCTCTATGCAGAACACTGGAGAAGTGTTGCGGTTGCTTGATTGTTAGGCTGCTAGTGCAAAGGCCTTGAAGTAAATGAGTCTGCTTTTGAGTTAAACTCATTTTTGCATATTATTCAGGAGTGTGCATTACCCTCCGGAAACTTCCAGTATCATGATAATGGCAAGGATGGTGGCCACCATCAAGCAGGTTATTTTCTGTTTATTATTGGTCTAAATAAGAGGATTGTTTACATAAATGAATTTTTTTGTAAGTATGGAAGCTTGTTTCTGCCATTGAATAGAAATAAAAATGGAATTGCGACCTTTTTTTCTGACTTCTTTTCTCAGAATTGTGAGACATAAACCCACAATTGTAAGAAAATAGATTTTTTTCCCCTCAGAATTGGACTTTAAAATTGGCGAGTGAATATCTCACAATTCTGAGAAAAGAAGTCAGAATTGGGAGAAATTTTTACATTTTGTATTCAGTGGTGGAAACAGGCTTCCATAAGTACAGTAAGTGTGAAGTAACTGGTATCAGCTTGTTTTGTTGCTGTTCCAGGCTCAAGATAAGGGACGCTGGCAGAGGCTGTTCTCTCATTTTTGTAGCCGTACAGCAAACGAAGAGGAGGAAATAGTTCATAAATTGTTGGGAGAGAAGTTTCAGGTAAATGCCATCGTTTTTGCCTTCACTCTTCATTTTTACTGTAGTGACAAATCATTGATTTCTACTATGCAGAATATTGATTCACATCTTAAAAGTGCACTAAAATACAGTGTTGTTTTTATTTCAGGGCCAGCTGGCCTTGCTGCGTGATCTCTTTACTACAGCGCTGTACGAGGATGGTCTCAGTCAGGTCAGACTCACATTTATCTGTCTGTCTTTCTGTATCACTGACACTTTGTCTTGAATGATTTCATTAATAAGCAAAAGGGTCAAATGCAAGTTGAATGAACATGCATTACTGCGGTGAATGCTTTCTCATACACTGACAATATCATCAAAGTCTATAGAATACCTTAAAGGGACTGTGATTTTATGCAGAACTAGGGATGAAACAGTTGCCCGTTCGATGATAAACCACGATAAAAAGTCCCAACGGTTAGTATTTCTGTGTCATATTATAATTTTTAGTGGTGGGCAATGATTAATCGCAATTAATCGCACCCATAATAAAGGTTTTTGTGTACATAATATTTGTGACCCTGGAGCACAAAAGCAGTCTTAAGTCGCTGGGGTATATTTGTAGCAATAGCCAACAATACATTGTATGGGTCAAAATTATTGATTTAGTCATTTATGCCAAAAATCATTAAGATATTAAGTAAAGATCATGTTCCATGAAGATATTTTGTAAATAGAAGTTTCAGGTAAATGCCATCGTTTTTGCCTTCACTGTTCATTTTTACTGTAGTGACAAATCATTGATTTCTACTATGCAGAATATTGATTCACATCTTAAAAGTACACTAAAATACAGTGTTGTTTTTATTTCAGGGCCAGCTGGCCTTGCTGCGTGATCTCTTTACTACAGCGCTGTACGAGGATGGTCTCAGTCAGGTCAGACTCACATTTATCTGTCTGTCTTTCTGTATCACTGACACTTTGTCTTGAATGATTTCATTAATAAGCAAAAGGGTCAAATGCAAGTTGAATGAACATGCATTACTGTTAAAAAATTTACAATTTGAGTTGGTAAGATTTTAACTTTGTTTTTTTTTAACAAGGTTGCATTTATTTGATCAAAAATATAGCAAAAACATAATATTGTGAAATATTATTACACAAATGTTCTGTTTGATTATATGTTAAACTGTATTTGATTTCTGTGATGCGCAGCTGAATTTTCAGCATCATTACTCCAGTCTTCAGTATCACATGATCTTCAGAAATCATTCTAATTTGAAAAATGTGACATTGATATTTTTTCAGGATTCTTTGAATATAATTTTTCTTTTTTTTAAATTTGTACCAAATACATTTCTTTACTGTCACTTTTAGAATTCATTTCTTAAAAAAACCGGTAACATGTTACAATAAGGTTCCATTTGTTAACATTAATTTACTACGTTAGTTAAAATGAACTAACACTTCTGAAGCATGTATCCATCTTCGTTAATTTCAGCATTTACTAATACATTATTAAAGTCAAAAGTTGTATATTTTTGTATATTTTATATTATTTAAAGGACCTGAGCTGACACATGGACTAACAATATACAGTGGTATTTTTTTATTAACTAATGTTAACAAAGATTAATAAATACAGTAACATGTATTGCTGATTGTTAGTTAATGTTAGTTAATGCATTAACTAATGGGACCTTATTGTAAAATGTTACCCAAAAAAAACTGACTGAACCCAAAATTTGAAAGGGTATTTTAGATTTTCTTCCAATACAATATCTGGAAAAAAAAATAAAAAATTATCAAATTTATTGACAAGGTTTGATACTGGTAACTGACACTAGGGGGAGTTAACACCTGTTAATTGGTCAAGTAGTATATAGAAAATTACTTTTCACCCATGTGACTACTGAAGAGTGATGCCAAAAATCATTAGGACATTAAGTAAAGATCATGTTCCATGAAGATATTTAGTAAATTTCCTACCGTAAATATATCAAAACGTAATTTTTGATTAGTAATATGCATTGCTAAGAACTTCATTTGGACAACTTCATTTGGACAACTTTAAAGGCGATTCTCTCAATATATTTACAATTGCACCCTCAGATTCCAGATTTTCAAATAGTTGTATCTCAGCC